GTAATAAATTTTTAGTATTTAGTAATGTTCCAATTTCAGTATAGGGATAACCAACCCCACTGTGCGAGTTTCTTCTTCTTTTTCTTCTTCTTCTTGTTCTTGAGGCACGTCGAGGCGTTCTCGTAAAGTAATTCGCGTATTAAAGAAACATAAATATCATGCGCAGAAGCGCGGTAATCAAGATGCCGAGAGTTTATATGTACGCGAGAGGAGAGAGCAGTGCGAGTCTTGAGGGACGAGCGTTAAATCATAAATCCAGTAAATTGCTCCTGGGTCGCAGCTTAAAGCTTTTTTCACACTTACGAGAGGGAGAGAAAGATAGTAAGATAGAAAGAAAAATAGAAAGAATGAAAGAAAGATAGAGATAGAGATATAGAGATAAAACCAGCGTAACGCAGGAAGGTTGATAATTTCGCCACAACCTTCATACGATATGTCAAATTTTCTCCCATATTTTTTTATATATTTTGATGAATATTTTGATTTTTATGTTATACAAATTTTTGTTTGATTTTCTATTTGAATAACACTTATAACGTCTTGTAAAATCTCGATATTTTCTTTATAATTATGCAAATAATTTAATTTCTTTTTTTAATTTTTGTAGCTGCATTTTAAAAGAATGCACAAGTTGTTTGGTTGCAAAATTAATTAGTTTTTCTCATATTTTTTTAATGTTTGATATAGTTATAAGTAAGTTCGTTTTATGAATTTGTACGGAAGACGCGTGTACACGTTTATCAATTGTTTCGATCTCCCCTACGGTTTAACATTCTTTTCTTTTTTTTCCTTTTATTCAATCAACGTAGTTTATAATAGCAAAAGAAGTATTTCGTCTTTAACAGTGGCAATCACTAGGCGCGTGCCGTGTGCCGTCTATGCGGATTGCTTCCGACCAGAGTATTCACCATGAAAAGGGTTAATTAACTACTACCGTTTTTTTGTGATAATTTTAGTGATTTTAGTTACATTAGTAACTTTCAATGATGAATAGTATTTCCATTTTATTTTATTTCTACATTGATACGGGGTAGGTGATTTTTTTTTTATGCTAAAGTTAGAAAGAGGTGAAAAAAGAAAAAGCTCAGCTAGTCCGAGTTGAACTCAGCCAAAATCGATAGTAATCTAATCATTCGCGCAGCTGGATAACTCGATTTTCGTTCGTTCTCGCTATGTAATCGCGTTAATATTGGTCCTGGAAACAGGAACAGACTTCGCCCTTCATCCTTTCTCTCTTTTTTATTTTTTTTTTGTACTTAATCTTTTTTCTTTTCTCTTTTCATCGTTATTATACGGCATACAACGCTCTTGATTGCTGTTTTCAATGTTAAGTCCCCTTTTAAGCCTTAGCTTCGTTAACCAAGATATTTGCAAAAGGGTTCTGTGTCGAATTTTTTTCTTCTTTGCCTTTACATTTTTTCTTTCTTTTTTCTTTTTTATAATATACGAACATTATAAAAATAATGAATATTCAAAGCGAATTTATTTGCAAAAAATAATCACGGTGAGATTAATCAATCAGTGTTTATAACGAGATGAGATCGGAGTGAATAACATTGAAAGGGAAAAATTGAGGGAGAAAGATAGATGATAAAAAAAAAAAAAAAGGAAGTGAACGGGCGGTACGTAAAATTCTAGTTAATGACCGCATTAGTAATTAGCCGAGAACTTGTAATAAAGTTTCCATAACTAATTGCCCTGTTCTTACGCCAGACATTTCGAAGAAGAAGACCACACAGATTTTCTCTTTTTTTTCTTTGTTGACCTTGCAGTTAAACGCTAATTATTATTTTTGTCCGCAATAAATTAAACAGATATATAGATTATGAAATGATATCATTGAATTTTGGTTTTTCCATCATGGGGGTAAAAAAAAAACGTTGAAGAGCTTGAATTTTATGATGCTTTTATTGTCGAGAAGTAAATAAAGATAAGTTGAGAATAACATTTAAAAGATTCATTTCTTCATTTTCATTTCAATGTCAACAACAAATGAAGCAATTCTTAAATCCTTGGAATCATCGGTATTATCCTTTTCTTAGGTATTGCCGACGTGCCAGGACGTGTTAACAAGCAAATGAACGTAAAACGAAGGCAAATACATATGCGGTATTTCGCGGATTTTAAAACGTTCTTTGTTTCGCATTTTAAAACTTACCACATCTTTAAAGATAGGCATCACGTTAATTGCGTGAACTTTAACCCTTTTTCCGGTTGAAGTTCAGAAATCTCAATAAGAACATAGACTTACTAACTAATTACTGTTTTTACAAAATCTATAAAAAGGCTTTTTCATCATCTGCTAACCATTGGCTTATTGAAAAAAATGTAGATTGGATTCTACAAGAAGGCAATGACCCGAAACATTAGAGCAAGCTCTCTGCACTCAGTGGAAAGACAAATCTGGCATGAGTCAATTGGATTGGCCGTCATAGTAGTCCGATGCTAATTTCATTGAAAACGTCAGAGAATTTATAAAGTCAAAACTTCGTGGAAGGAAAGTATTAACTGTAAAATAATTAATGCGACAGATTAATCGGATTTAGATGGCCTTATCACACTAATACTGTGCTATACGTTGCGTTAATCCGTTAAAAAGTATTTCTCTGGAAATGTCAATCAATTGTCGAAGTTGTTGGTGATAATTAGATTCTCAACTAACATTTTAGTTTTAAGTATTAAAAATGAACATATTTATTTTATTATTAAAATTTGTACGAAACACACAAGAGAAGAGTGTTGTTATAAAGTATAAATCAGTAGAAATGAATACTCTTACGTTATAAAAAATATATATTTCTTTTCTAACAGCTACCGACCAAATTTGACTATTAATCACATTTCTTAATTACTCGTATAACTCTCGACGGATAAAAAAAAAATAAATGATTTATTTTGGATTTATTCTGAACATATCATTTCGATAATTTCTACCAGCTAATAAAGCGATTCTATTCTCATTTAATAGATAATGATTCGATTTAGTAATCTTATCATAATTAACGCTATTTTTTATTTATAAAAAACATATGATAGAGAAAAAGATAAGAAGTCAAAGAGAGAGGGAGAGGAAGATAGAGAAAGAGAGAGAAAGTAGTGATAAAAGGGATCGGTATATGTCGCCCTCGTAAAGCAAGTCTATTCTCTATCTCTATCTTTCCATTTTTTTCTTGTAAAAGCAAGATATAATACTATCTCACTACCTCCTAGTTCTCGTTCGAGCGGCTCAATGTACGGTGGAAACGATGCTGAAATGTCGGCTATGCCGATTACTAGCGATGGATATACGAGATAATGAAAAGCCTCGTCTCTTCTGTTACCTCTACTTCCGCGTCCATCTTTCTCTCTCTTTCTTCCTCTTTCTCTCTTTCATTCTCCTTCTCTTTCTTTCTTCGTTTCGCTAGAGTATCAGCGACGTTGCGCTTCCACATCCTTCTTCGTGTATCTCGAGATCTCGAAGAAGGGAAACCGGAGATTTTCACCGTGCCTATGGTCGTTGGGATTCGGTATTCAACCTGCTCGCGGTTCAATGACTGACTTCTTAGAACGCCTTCTCTTCATCTTCGTGGTGGAATCAATCTGCTTGCCGATACGAGAAAACGTTACTTACTCTTTCTTAGCAATCTCTTCCTCTTTGTCCTAACTCTCTTTTCCTCTCTCTCTTTCTTCTTCTGTTTTTTCCTTAACCTCTCCTCTCTTGTCTTCTTCTTCTTCTTCTTCTTCTTCTTCATTTCTTTTTTTCTTCTAATGTACGAACATGGAACAAGCTGATCGCGCGTAGTAAGACGAGCCGAAGCACTTTCCTTTCCTTCGTGGACGTTAAATATCTATTTTTTCATCGGAAATGAATATCCGTTTGCAGATAGACTTACGCAGATAAAAAGGATCGTATCTCTTTAAATAACATAAATTTGAAGATCGGCATTGTTGGTCGTTGTAGGAAAAATTGTATTTATTGAATTAAATGTATACTTTCACTTAAAATAGAAAAATAGTGGATTTAATGATAAAATCGTTTACGACGTACATAATGTTTGTGTGTTCGCGATTTATTTGATATGTTTGATATTGATAATAATGTTATTACTATCCTATTTCGTTTTGTATCATAAAAATTCTGCCACATTCAGACATATTTGTTTAAACTTAAAAGAAATTATTCAAGATGAAGTTCTAATAGCGTATAACGATCGATTAAAATTCGTTTTTCGAAAGTAAAATGTTAAAAAGTATTTTAGAACAGGGATGATCTTTGGTTGTAACTTCTTCCTAACGCCCTTTCTCTACACTTCCCTTATCTTTTTCGATCGAAATGCGAGCGGTGAATGGGAGATAATAAATAACTTAGGATACTCATTTACTCGAGTGATGCAAGATCTCGTAATGTAAGGGTAAAATCCACCGCTAATGTCATACATCTACGCTTTGTTCCATCGAATTTCACAGAAACACCGATCCGGAAACCATTTCTACTTTTTACTCAACGGAGCTGATTGTCGAAGGTCATGACGTAACCTTCTCTCCCTGTAAACCCACGGCAATGAACCCACGAAGATCTCGTCTCCTCGCATAGAGCTTCCATACAACGTGTAATGACAGTCCTTCGAAAGTACGAGAGAAAGGGAGAGGGAGAAAACAGCATTATCTGTTTCTTTCTTTCCACGAGAAAGAGCGAATAGATTGCGAGTCTTGTGGAAGAGGATCACCGAAACGTGACTGCTACCGGCATTCACTTTTCTTCTCTTCGTATTTCTTCGAAAGAAGGACGATTATCATCATAGAATTATCTTCCGGATATCAACGTCCTGTTTAGTTTACTACTTCTACCTCTTCACACATGACTGCTCACCAATTCGAATTTGAATAACGAACGAGCTCTATGCGATTGAGCCAATTCCCTTTATAATTACGAACAGGGTGGTCTTGTCATGAATTAGATTTGTTTACTCTTCTAATAAACGTTGGAAGATTTATAATAACCTTTTTCAATTTTGTTGCAGATACACAAATGGAACAGGGATACCGATCGGAGGTTCAGGAACGTGCTCTTATCGTCTCTTTGCAAATGTTCAATTTAATTTTGGAACGTGGAGTATCTTTATTGAAAGCACAGTTGGATAGTGGAGAGGAACCTCGATTGGTCGTCGGAGAAGATATGCAGGTCCTTTTACCTGCTATTAAGGTAAATTTGCTAAATTCTTTTAATTATCTTTGTTTGTAAATAGTTTAAGAATAATTAATAGAATAATGAGACAATGTAGACTACAAGTTTTATCGCATTGCATAGAAAAACACAATATTACACATATGGAATACATAAAAGTATTATACATACATGTATATATTAAAGATGAACAGCTTTCTTGCATATGAAGGGCTGACAAGTTTAGAGGGTTGAAAATTTTTGTCATGATATTTGGAAGGTTTCATAAAGGTTTTTTTATACGTACATAGAATAAATAGAAGTAATATTTATATATAATAGAAATGTATTATGTGTAATACGTAGAAGAGGGTTGACAAATTCTGAATGAATCTTACATGTGAATGCATTTTGTACGAAATGGAATTTTTGTTCTACTTTTCATAAGAATTTTTGCGAAATTTCTACCTCCCTTTTTTTTTTTGCAAACGGTTGGAGATCTGAATTTTATAAAAAGTACAATGTATATATTCATGGACTACTACAAGTATGCAATGTTTGAAAAAAATCTCAGCCTCTCGTAAATGGTCCTGCCCTTGTTAGTTGCATACGAACGAGCTCAAGCGGTTGAGGATTTATGAAGCGATGCGAGATTCGCACCCACGCAAGATCCTCCGCCGGTGGCCGGTGTCAAGACCTGGACCTGGTTCGTTCGTGTCTCGACTTATTATGCAACCTAGGCGTCCACGATTAATGCACCAATCGCACGTAATCTATGCCCGCGTGTTCAGCTACATCGACAAAGATCGGTCGATCATGAGATTGCAACGACAGTGTTGGCACTCTTCTACTTTTCCCTTTCTTTATTTCAATCAATCACGCTTTGATATGATAAATCGATCTTTCACGATACATTTGAAATTTGTGATAAAATTTCAAAGAAATAATATTTTTTTATGAGATAATAAGACTACCCTCAAGTGGTATTCAAAATATATACGGTTTTATAATCATTGCAACGTTAGTGATAATAAAATTGCAATATAGGTTGAAGATTTAATTTAAGATTTCATTATTATTTTTATTACTCTTGTTTTTATAAATTTAAATAATATTCTTAACAAAGTGAATTTTCTTTATGATCATTGATTGCCTCGTTAACAGTCTGTTGATCTCTCAGCGATGATTTCTCAAGAAGGTGTAACGTTTCTACGTTGAGACCATTAATATTGGCGATAATGCGGATGCGATACAAGAGCGTTTGAATACATTTTATTTTCCAAAAGATTGATGAATGCTGTTGACGAGAGTAAAAAGTCGAGTGAATTTCTATAAATAGCAGCATTATTCGCTCATCTGTAGGAATGTATCTCATGTTTTTCTTTTTATCTTTACAGATTTGGTGCGATTGGATGCTGTGCCATAGTACCGTCTGGAATCCGCCACCTTCGTGCACAGATTATAGAGTTGGGTAAGTGTTTCTTTTATCTAAAAATTAAAACGATTAAAGACTTCTGTTTATTTGAATCGTAGTTCTGTCGTATTATCGTTGAATTTCATTGCCCTAATGAACATAGTTCATTACGAACATATTCGTAAAGTATGGAGCGTTCAATTTTATTGATCAGAAAACAAAATTAAACAGATCTAGATATGCACATTATAAAGTATTAAGAGATTTAATATGTTTCGTGAAAATTCCTGTCGGGAAAGAATTCACATATAGGTATTACAATTCAGAGGCCACGATTCCTTCGAAGGTAGGGAAGAATGTTCGATACCTCGAACTAGCCCATCCTGTGGTCTGCGGTTTTGCGGTCTGAAATCTTTGCCTTCTAACCATGGCAAGCCCAGTCGGTAACCGTCGCGTTACTTACTTTCGCCAGCAGATTACGCTGCAATGCCGAATCTTCTACTTTCACGATAAAAATCTTGAGTTTTTTATTTTTTTCTTAGGATCGGTGATAAAATTGATCTTGAAAAAATGTAGAAGTTCGGAAAGAATGAGGATATGTTTTTTTTTTTTATTATAAATATTCAAACAAGCCACGTTCATCGAGAAAAACATTAATTTACGATCCTTAAGATGTATCAAAATTGAAGGATCTCCTCTCGCACGTATGTCGAAAGATCCATCGAAGAAGAACAAAACGCGAAAAGATAAGGGAGTAATAGCCGTTCGATCTTTCCGTAGCCTTAGGCCTGTTCCCTAGCGAAGATCGCTCGGAGCCACACTTAGCACTTAGACCGATCGGCATTTACACTCGTCCGACCTTGGGAAAACGCTCTCGGGAGAGGAAAGAGCGAAAGATTATCGTCGATGCGCGTTCGCCGCGCACGGCAACGGGGTCGTAACCTTTACGTCTCCCTAGAGAGAAATTTTTCTGCTCAGAGGAAGAAATTATTGCTACTTTATCGCAATTAATGGTACACCTCGGGGGACTCTAGTAAATCCTCTCGTTTCAGTCTGTCCTCACTAAGGATATAGAAGTAGAGTAAATGTTACAGTTATTGACTACTATTTAACGATAGGTCGCGTTTTTTTATTATTTTTCATTTCAGACGCATAATAGCAGCATATTCGTTCAATACATAATATTTAATGAGATCAACTTTAGTTAGATAAACGTGGCACGTTTCTCTTACGTTTTTTTTTTGTGAACCGATAACTACGAGAAAGTCACTGAAGAACGGGAGGAATAAACGTACGTGTGTGTATGTGTACGTTTGTTTGTATGGCGTAGGTCACGGTCAACCACTGTACGGCATCGAGGCTCGATCCATACTCGAGCTGAGCTTTGCTCGTTCTTAGAGAGGATCCTCTTTCCGCTTTCACGACATAGCCTCTTATGTCGACGTAACAACGAACGTCCTTTAATTTCAAGGCTCGAGTCTCGAGTCTCCACGAACACACGGTATATTTCCTTTGTCAAACCAAAATTAATCTTTGGTATATGCATGGTCAAGAAAAAATAAAATAGAATAAATAGGAGGTTGAGATTTGTAGGATGACAATTGTCACGGCTTGCATGCTCGTATTACTATAGATTGACCAAGTTGCCGCGTTACGTTCTGCCGATTTGCAGAGCTCCATCTGAACTATTAATTTAGGTTGACACTTTGGGTGTTTTGAATTATGGCTCGTGTACTAAACTATTAATTTTCGCCGTATAAAAGAGAAAAAGTAAGATGGGGGAGAGAAAAGTATGGAGACAAACGGACAGATAGATATATATACCGTGATACTTCTCTCCGAAAACCTGTTTAGTTTTTGAAACTCGATGAGCCCCGTATTTGAGTTGTCGAAAGAAAAATAAAAGTTATAAAAAATGCGTCTCTTTTATATTCCTTCGACTCTTGAACTCGAAAACTGCTTCCTTTTTTGAGCCTTTGCGGTCAAGCATCTACCTCTTTAAAAATATACTCACAAATATATTTGAAAGGATATTCTGAAATATTTTCTTTGGGACATATCGCGAAGATGTTAAAAGTATCCACGAGGTTTTTTTCGACCCATCGATTACGCTCTTCTTCGTTTCGATGCTCGTGAATTGAGAAACGTTTTAACGGGTTCGTGTTGTCAATTGACATTAACTACACTCCAGTTCACATGTAGCTGATAAAAATCATATCATTTTACCTGTGTCTGTTACCTGAAGGTTGCATGCAATCGTTTTGCGTAACCGATTGCGGTTTCGATCGACGAATTTGTGTTTTGTCATTGCAAGCACGGACCATGTCTTCATTTTAAACGAGAGATTCAAAACGCAACCCATTATTTATTTTTCACCTTAATTGTTGTTACAAATATGTTATGCTAGGTTTTTAATAAAAGTCAATGTGGTATCGTTACGTATAGCTTATCAATAGTTACAGCAGTTATCAGAAAAGTGGAAGACACATTTATTCGAGTCTTAATCCAATCTACAAATAGCCCAATTTGTTTTATATCATTTTGCAAAAAAATATCTCTAATTTTCTATCTCTCTTTTTGTCATCCAATCAACGAATAAACTTCAAATACTTTAGATATTAAAATGTTTCGTTTTAAATATCTATTCACATTAATTGCAACGTCAATTCTCAATCGCCACAAAAATGTCGTTAGAACTTTATCGAGTATATTTTATAAATATCTTATTATAAAAAGTTTTATTTTCATTTATATCCATTTATAATATAAAAGTATATACATGATGGATTTAATTATAAAAAAAAAATTTCTTCGAATAGATAACATTATTCTATTGCGGAGAAGTTGGAGAACGGAAAACTCATTAGATGATAAATTCGTCTATCACGCGATAGTCTGGTAGAAGATAAAAATCTATTAAAAGTTTCTCAAGGTTGCTGCATCGACGCAACACCACTAGTGATCCTATCCGACTGAATAAGTTAATTATTGTTGTTCGCTAGAGATTACCTATTAATTACTTACTTATGACTCAGACTTGTTTCCTTGGTAAGGACGCTACTCGGTTAAGCCTTTCTCAATTCTTTAGATAAAAAAAAAGAGAAGAAAAAGAGATAGAGAAAGATGCGAATAAATAAACTACAGTAGCCGCTGTCCTGTTTAATAAACGACTGACCTTTAACGATGACAATCAATTAATTGCATAGAAAATCGTTGACATTAGTTCAGCTATTACAACTATTATATCCTCATCTCATTTAAATTATTATTTTATTTTTATAAACAATTTATATATACACATATTTATTATATTTTATATTGTTCGATGTTTAAATGAATTAATCTATTTATTATTTTTCGTACGGATTTGTAAGCCTAGTATAGAACAATAATTGATCATTTTGTTTTTACATTAGCACGCGATTTTCTTCTTCTATCGTGTATTGTGAGAAATCGTGACTGGGGATGACGAGGAGAAGGCAAAAGTCGCTGACCAACAGATCGATAAATAAAAGTCTAACGCGAGGTCATCCGCGTTCTATTGAAAACGATCTCTGCACCAGCTGCGCTCTTACGTTTGCGCGCGTGCACCTCTCATGTACGTCCGGCTTCTTTATTTACTTTCGCATCGGAAAAAAACGCAAATTGCCTATTCCACTTGGCAGCTTACTAAATCACGCTGGATATTTATTGGCCTCGTAAGAGCGAGAAAAGAGGAAGCCAGGTGCTCGATCTCTAAGATCCTTCCGGTTTCTCATTATTCGCACGGGTTTCATCAACAATCCTTGTCTTTTATCCTATGCGAATGACAAAACTTTGATTTTAATCGTAATTATCTTTTTACTTTATAGACCACCTGGAGACGCTTGGAGTAGATTAGCAACAATGGCTAATCTTTTGGATAAGCTCAATTACACCAGAACTGTTTTGATCCAAGCGAAAGAAGCTGAGGGTCGTGAAGACGGTAAGATTATTATTCTGCATATTAATCTTTAATGACACAAAATGAAGCCTTACGCGTAAATCATAAATTTACATCGCACAATGTATGATCCTTATATGAATTCGTGTTTTTTTTTTGTTTCCTTTCTTTTCTTTTTTTTCTTTTTTCTCGGGAAATTATACAAATTATCACGAGTAAAAAAAAAATAAAAGACTTTCGAACAGAAAAGTTAATATATTTAAGATGATTGAATAGATGAACCCGCATCGACAGAATCATTCATAAAAGATGCTGGCTCCCATTACTACCAGCACAAAAGTTACGGTCTTTAACATCAGATTACATATTGTTGGATGACTATTAAAGATTATTTTCGTACTCTTTATAGCTCTGGAATGTATTGAACAAGTTGCTTTCTTACTCGTTTTATATCTTACTTTTTATCTCTTTTACTATCCCTCTTCTAGTACCGTTGATTACTACTCATGTTATAAGCTAAAAATAAATTTCTAACTGTTCGATTACATGGAATCATATAAAATTATTGACAATCCAATAAAATCTTTTAGTTCGGCAGAACTCGAAAATATTTAACATATTCACGCATGATCAACTTCATGCTTTGCTACGTGAAGGTAAACGCGTTTGAATTGGTCATGAATTTGATTCAAAACAAAAAAACGACAAAAACAAGACAAATATCCAGTATAGATTACAATGATATTCGATCGATTACGATAATTGACAAACGATCTCACTCGATTTAACGGTGAGTATAACGGCACGTTTTAACTCACGCGGACAACGAGGAGTTGTTGCTTCACGGTCGATCGGGACAAGTGGACAGATAATCATAATAATCGACTGTACCGCTTATGCATTTGCGGTTTTAAGAAAATCGGATCGAAACGTGCCATTTAAGGATTTTAAAATGAATTGCGATTTAATATTTTATATATGCGGGTTATTCTCCATTATAGTGAAAATAAAGCCTCATAAGAAAAAACTTAATTCTACATTGTCGATTAATTTTGGTTCTTTTTTCTTCTTTTAAATAATAAATCATTCTCTATTATTCTTACCGGAACATTCTATATATATATATATACGTATATTATTTAAAGCTTAACACGATACAATAATTTGCCACTTGTGGTAACGTTTTCATTTATATAATATCCTATAAAATAGTAAACGATGACAGTAAAGTCCATTTTTCGAAATTTTATTCGTATTTATATATGTAAAAGTTTTCGTTAGCACAATTAAAAATTGATTATTTTCATATTATTATTATTATTATTATTATTATACGACAGCTATTGATAAAATGTTTCATTTTAGTAAACGCTTAGAAGTGTTAACGATGACGAAGGAAGCGCATAACGGGGAATTCGTCGCATTCCATACGACTCCCTCTTCCTCCCTCTCTCTCTCTTTCTCTCTCATTCTCCATTTTGTTGGTTCTTTTACTCTAAGACACGCTGGACCAGCTTAATCAAAAAACTTGAATCCTCGAACGGCAAAGTCGCGACGGTCGTCTGTTGACCCCCACAGCAGCAACAGTGGCAGCGGCGGTTGCGTAACGGTGAATCCAATGTGACCACTGCAATGCTATACTCTTCTACTCGTTTACAAGCCTGCAGCCAATGATACTTCGTCGTTGTCTCATAGGCGCGCCACGCCCGATTGCTGCTACTGTCTACTACCATTCTTTCTTTTTATCTCTCTCTCTCTCTCTCTCTCTCTCTCTCTCTTCTTTTCTTCACCCTCTGTGTTATTCCATGCATCTTATGAATACTTAAATCGCATTGCCTCCGAGACCATTTACGCAAGGATTTTGCGAGAGCTTCACGAACAGCCGACGTCGTCCTTTTGTTAGACTCATTTCCTTTTTCTTTTCCTCTCTGTTTATACGTAACCAAATTTTGCGATTAAACGATTACATACGAGTTATTGTCAAATTTTTAATTAAAAATATGTAAAAATGAATACGCCTTTTCAAAAAAAAAAAAAAAAAAAAAGAAGATTGTGTATTAAATATTTATATATAATTACTCGAACGATCCAGCGATTAATTAAAAAGAAAGATATTTTTTTCGGTAAAAAAAAAAAAAAAAAAACCAAACAAAGTCGAACGATTTTGTTGTCACGTGTGATTCAGAGTCAGGAAATAATTTATACGACGGATAAACGGCACGAAGCTATCGTTTAATAACTAATTGCCTGTACCTGATGATAATTACGAACGGAACACGAATCGATTAATTTTACTCGTGATCATTAGTTTACTCGTGCAATGATAATACATTATGCCAAGACAATGCGATATTTTACCGGATTGCTATTTTTCATGGCTCACACGACAGCGTGTACACACATGATTTCTTCATTTCTACGCCCTTTTAGTTTTTTAATCCGATATTTAAAAAAAAAAAAAAAGAAAAAAAATACTCAAGGATAGGTATTTCGTGTTAAATCCAATCGCGAGCGCATTCAATGATCAATAATTATTATAGTTGGGATATAACGTGAAAAAATGAAAATTTTAATTGCTTCTGTTCTTTGGAAATAATTAGACATAAAATTCGATATTTTTTATTTTTTTTTTTTTTTTTTTTTTTCCTATAAATTCAGACACATTATATGACAGAAATTTTCAGTCTAAATCAATTTTTAAGTTAAACTAAACGTATAATAGCTATGTTCATTAGCAATAAATTATAATCCGATATGAATTAATTACTAATGAAAAGCTTAATTAATTTGATTAAAATTAAATNTTTTTTTTTTTTTTTTTTTTTTTTTTTTTACAAAAATTGTTATTGTTCTCGTATTTGTATCAATGACAACAAATTACATTTAATCAATCATTAAACGTATAATAGCTATGTTCATTAGCAATAAATTATAATCCGATATGAATTAATTACTAATGAAAAGCTTAATTAATTTGATTAAAATTAAATCAATCATCTTCGATACAACGTTTTATCATAATTACTTTAACAAAGAACCTTATTAATTATTTTACTTTTATTAATCTAATGTAAGATCATTAATTATAAATAATGTAGTTTCTTTTTTATTTAAATTCAATTTAAAGGATATTTTTAAATTATATAATGTATAGTCGATTACTAAAAGAAATACAAAGAAATACATTTTCCTATTTCGTATTTACCGTTCTATGTAGCTTAGCAGGTCTTACGTACTGAATGAATCCGGATGGTTGAAAACGAGCGTTCTAGTTTTGTATCTTGCATCCTTGCATGCGGTACACTTACCTCAAAGTCGAGCATGTCCTTGCCAACGACGAAACACGCACGTCATCGTGAATATGTCGCGTTACACGTGCCGTTCCAGTAATACAACCGCATGCATGTTAGTCGATGATGCCTGACTAGAACGATCGTTCAACTACTGTAAAACGTAACCACTTTGCTACTACATATTTCCTTTGCTAGCTCGTTTTTCTATTTTATTATCCGATGTTATCATCTTTGTGTGATCATTTTATATTGAACATTATTCGCCTCCTGTCTCCGATTTTGTCGAATAACAGCTCGCAAAAAACGATACGATTTGTAAAGGAAAATAAAAAAGATGCAAGACAATAACGGTATATCCAGTAACGTGTGCCGTAATGTCAATTTGTTGGCTTACCTCTCTCTCTCTCTCTCTCTTCCACTTGTTTGTTCTCTTTTTCTCTTTTTCTCTGTTTCCCACTCGTTTCTTTGCTCTCTGTTATCTGCACATAAGACCTAAGGCACAATGGATAAATTGAAGCAAAGGTACACCATCGTGGACTTTGCGTTGGGCGTACTACGAAGCAAGTTGAGAGGAATGTATCGCGAAGATCGAAAGAGGGTCCTCTTCTTTCATTCTTTCTTTCTTCTTTCCTTTTCTTCCACACTTTTTTCGTCCTCGCCTTCGGCCACTCTGCACGATCAGTTCAGTAAAGAAGAAAAGAGGAAAAAAAATAAGATAGAGAGAGAAAGACGAATAAGGCTCTATATTATCCACTTAACGGTCTTCGTTTAACAATAAATTCCACAGCGTAATTGCGTTTTTACGTCGACGGCAATAATATGAGGGACTCCTTTCGAGCTTTTTTCCTTGTTCTTTTTCTGTGTGTGTGTGTGTTTTTTTTCCTCTTATTCTTACCACTTCCAACGTACTTTATCGACGATAAATTGTTTCGCACTTGTTGCCTTTTCGAGACTCGTGAAAATAATTATACCTACATACTCGACGATAGAGTAATGGTCTCGTAGTTGACAACGACGTGACGTATGATGCCATATAAAAATAATAATTATTTAACCATGTTTGTACAAATCATAAACTATCAGATGATGAGAATGAACCAAGAACCTACCGAGTAATATGAAAGAAATATAAAGAAAAGAAATTATGATTCGTTCCTCGTTAGTGAGAATACGAATTGAAACTTTTATTGTGTGGACGGTAATAAAAACTAAAAACTAGAACGAATTCCATGGAATATAAAGAGAGCACCAGTTTCGATTGTTATTACTGTCTTTAAGATTCGTATCTTTTCTAATTATGCAGATTGTTTACTCATATTAATTTCACTGTATTTTTGTAGAATTAATAAAACGCGAAGAAATTAGAATGATCGAAGATAAAAGATCGAGAAAATAATGGAGCTTAAAAAAAATAAACATAAGTTTAGTTGATTAATCTTTAACATAATTGCGTGAGACGCTATTCGAATATGTACGATATTAAAGATTAGAAAATATTTGTTAAAATTTTACGAGATAAATTTGTCATACTGTTTTCATTTTTATATCAAAATAAGTTACTTCGAAAATATTGTTCTCTTTATCCCTAAATGTAACATTAATGAAATTCCCGTGACAAGCAATATTTGAATTAATGTCATACGTGTGATCTTACAATTAGTAATTTGTTGGAAATTTGTTGTTTGTTTAGAACTAGAATTGGTGAAGTTGCCAGAAGATACGACATTGGCAGGATTCACGCCGTTAATGTCAAATCCTCAAGAACCTTGTTACGTAGAGAAGACGGAAGACATGGTGAGTATCTAATCACGATTGAAATCTTTCATTAATTCTCTTCGGCATCATATCGATAGGATGTAAATGCTTGCGATAGGTACATGTAAGCTATCGGGCATACGCACCCCATAAGTTTATTAAATCCGTAAATCACTAGCTAGTACGTACGTCCAATCGATTAACACAGACTATAAATTTATCAGACGTATCGATCTCTCGATCGCAAACTAGTAGTACGATATCCGATCGACTGTTCGACTTAGCTATAGCCTAACCTGTCGATACCTTTCAGGATATCGCTCAGGTCTGTCTAAGGATAAGCAAGGTGCTCTTCTTCGGTCAAGTATTTCTCTGCGGACTGGAGACACCGGTGTTGAAGTTACAAAAGAACGAAAGCGGTATGAGCGAATATGTATCTGTGGTAGAAGCATCCAGCACCAGTTCACCGAGTTCACCACCTGAACAGGTAAATTTGATCGATTTTATTAATTTAAATACAAGATTACGAATCTTGGAATATCGTGAATTTGTTAATCGGATAATAAATGAAATTGTGTATTTATTTATCGTTATCATTATCTAATCTTTAAGGTATATGTGATGCTTACAATTAGAATTAGATTTGTTTTGCCTAATTGTAAATGTAATCTGACGAATTTATATTTCGTGATTCAAATTGAGATAATATCTAATGTATACATAATTATTTATTTTCATTTATAATAGAAATCTATTAGCTTCATGGTATTACTCTTAGCATCAACATATGTAAATTTATTCCATATTATGTAAATTTTGTTGTTTTTAAATAAATCGTTAACCAAGAGATTAATCGATTAGAATCACATGGTATAAATATCGGATGATAATAGTTTTAAAAATGGCGTTTCTTGCAGAGCGATTCGGAGTTATTAGTGGAAAGTTATAGCGAGGACGAGAACGAGCCAGTTTCCACAATGAAGAGATTGCCTTTGAACAGTGACGTACTCGACGACAACGGGGCGCCTGTGGCTCTCGGAGAGATAAGATCACTGATCGAACGGAAGGAGGAGCTCGAAAGGAAGCAACGGAAGCAGGATCGTCACCGACAACGAGTCCAGGTGAGTAGTAAGAAGGTACCACCAGAAGCACGCGATCGACTGACTGACTCCTCCGGCGATCGAGAAAGACGATCCATCGATTCTTCGTGATAGATCGTAACTTTAATCCTACCTCTTATCGCACTATTCCTGTACCTATCGAAAGAGAAATTCAAAGCTTTTATCAAAACGTCGATCGATGATTTCTCTCTCTCTCTCTCTCTCTCTTTCTCTTTCACCTTTTCTTCATCTCTTATTTTATAATAATATAGTAATTATTTTTCTACAAATATGGTAATCAAATTTTTTTCTACACACATTAGATCTTTTTACGTAGATTTTTTACATTGCGCTATGTATGTATAAGAAAAGTTGTCTTTCACTCTCTTTATTATTTTTTTTTCTCGTAACTCCGGTAAAAGTTACTAAGGGAATAAACGTTTTATGAAATAGGAACGTTAAGTCGATATCCGTGCTCGGTGGTTCTTTTCTTCTGTATCTTTTATTTTATTTCCCCACCCCCTCTCTCCTATTATCTCAAAGTCATCGACAAATCACGGGTTTATAGTTTTATCAGCAGAACATACGTCGTTTTACTGTGTTCAGTTAAACCAACTAAAAAGAAATTACGGGCACTTTTCTTCCTTATGGTTTTTTCATCCTCTTAACGCACGAGCATAACTAAAAGAGGAAGATACTTTTTTTCCGCTCGTACTTTTATTTCAACAAAGAAGTTCGTCCTTCTTTCTCGAGGCGGTCAACAACGCAGACTCTGCACGCGAATCTCCCGTTTTTATTTACGACATCCATGAGCTCCTCCTTTTTGCATATTTATTATCGAGTCTCCTCCCTCCGGCAAAAGGGATTGCGTCTTCGTTGTGTCGTAGCGTCCGATTAATCTTTTTTCTTTCCTTTCCCCCTTTTTCATGGTGTCCAGTTATTCTTCTCTTAAAAGATTTTGTCGAGATTAAACTAATTTGATATTGTTCGATCGAGATGATTTTTAGTTTTGTTTTAGTAATTCACATAAAACTTCTTCAAATGAAATAATATATCTGATTTTAACGTTATTTTAATATCAGGCTATTTTTTTCAAAATTAATAATTGTTTCATTAATTCATTATAATTTAATTCTTGTGTGTAGACGATTTAACTCCTCTTGATTAATAATTTTCTTTAATCATTGAGATATATTAAAAATGATTTTTTTTTTATATATTTTGTATTATTTTGTATTGCATTTCTTTTAAGTGAATTTGAAAATATTATCCTAATGTATATAACTTTAAACTTCACGTGTCAAATTATGGGTGGGACGTGTGAAAATTGTTCTCGTTACATACGCAAGTACTTTAATTAGTTACATATAAAATTTGAATTACTAATAATGATCTTTTTACGAAGGATTAACAATTGTTCAATTTTTGGTAATAGAACTGGCAAAAGAACCTGTTTATAATATCTAGATCATTGCTAGGAGCGGTATGACCTGGTCCCTAACCAGTTTCCATTGCCAACAATGACTTAAAAGCGGTTTCCGTGAACGTTGATCTCTGCACTTTGGCTTACATACTAGCAAGTAAATACAGACAATTACTGTGTTCTGCACACAGTGGTTTTTACGCGAATAGGTGTGGTACGTTATTCATACGGTTAATTAGCCGTTGGAAAGGAATCGGCAAAAGGAGGAAAGAAGTACGAAATTCTCTGCTTTTCTACGTGGTCTTAGCAAGGACGAGGTCGAAACCGGCTTGCCAACTAGCTGGAACCGTTGAACGATTCGTTAATTTTGCTTTAATAAGAGCACGCGAGGGTCAAAACGCAGTAAGGGTCGAAATTTATGTAAACGGCTAGTTTCGCATCCTCGCATGTACCGTTCTCCTTATTTTTTTTTGTAAGTATTATCAAGGACAGGAAGAAATTCGTACGAAACTTGACCTGAATTACCGAAAGATGTGATTTATTTGTGTTCTTTATATACATATATAACATGAATAAGGGTAAAAACGATTTATATTACATGCTTTACGGGGGGTTTTTTTTTTAATTTAAAAATAATTAATATAAAGTTTGAAAAAATCCCAAAGACGTGGAAGTCCATCATTTTGAGTGTCTAACTATTATTTGAAGAAACGAAGATGATATCGCGAAGTTAGAAATTTAGGAAGCTTTTGAAAAAAATCGAAATAGTTTCATATAAAAAATAATGGGTTCATATATGAAATTAACAATTTCCTGATTTTTTATTCTTTATTCTTCTCTCTTTTTTTTTTTTATATTAATTTGATTTAAAATGATTCTCTTAAATACTCCTTCTCTTTCTTTCTTTAGCACGCGCTTCGCACTATCTGTCTCTTTCTCTTACTTTTTTGTACTCATGGAATCTCTCGTCGTCTCTTTTATCTATACTGATTTTTTGTCCAATTTTTTTTTTTTTTTTAAATATTTTTTACGTCACGAACTAGACGAGTAATCAAATTCACATTTTGAAAAACGGTTACCGCTTAATACACCGTATGCGTTACGTATGAGTAAAGGAGAGAATGCGAGGTAAAACGGGCAGATTTTGAGAGAGAGAAAAAAGTGTATAGCTTTGTGTACGTTAATTACAATAGTATTTTTTTTTTCCCCGAAAAAAGCAGAGTCATTGACCGGATATAATGTTTTTCCAGACACGTACAGTCTGGACCATATGAATATCGCACAAATTTACCGATGATAACATACGGCGAATATACGGTTGCGATGAATTTAAATATAACATCGTCGAAATAATAATTTTAAGTTATTAAATAATTTCTCTTATAAATATATAAATATTAATTATATTATATTAGTTGGATTATATAACGTAATAATATTTTTGTTAAAAAAAAAAAAAAGAGAAAGAAACACATTAGAGAGAAGAGAAATCGTCTGAAATGAAATTTATATTAAAATCTTAATGTGGATGAAATTGAGTTAAAAACCTTTGGTAATTTCATTTTCGTCTTTAATCGCGGACTTTTACCGTTAAGGAGTAAATAAAAGAATCAAAATTTGCCGTTAACAAATAATTAAGATGAACGAGCCTATAGACAAAAAACGATGTGGCTCGCATGGTCGGTAAAAAGGAATAGATTGAGTTTCTTGCCAAGTAATTCTCTAACGGATTCTTCGTCGAGTATTGATCGGACTAACAAACTCAGAGTCTACGTCCACGGTTATAAACAATCATCAATTGATTTTCTTATTTTTATTTTCTGCTTTCTCGGCCACTATCATTACAAGGACGAACGTTTGTCTATTTCGGAACAACTGACGTCGAATCGATAAACGTGGAAGAGGCGTGGCGTCGATTACGGGTTTCTTCGTGTCGATTAATAATGGAAAGGACAGCACCGTGTCAGAATCAGCGACCGTAACTTGTCTAATCTCCCATCTTACTATATATCGATTTGATCATTTCTCTTGATACCGTAACGTTTAATCGTGCAATTTAAGAATCTGTATTTTCCTGTTCCATGAATCTAACACGATTAAACAACTGGAAATAATTTAGATTTTTTCACAAGTTAAGAAATAATGTTGTTATAGAATTTTGATCGTTCAATTGTTTTAAATATTATTCGAGTATTCTTTCGTGTCAATTGTTTCGTAACAGACGAACTTTACGATGGAACTTTGTAATAATTCATATACCTCCGGAGGTTTTACTCTATAAAAACTTTCGTTCGATATTTTATCCAGCGATACAATGACTTATAGCCTTGGCTGGTTTACGAAGTAAATCAAATTGTTACCAACGTTCCTCTTCTCGTCTCATCGGATTCGAAAATGGAAAAGTAAAATTTAGTTTCGTCTATTCGTCATAAAACATCGAGTTTATCCGACTCATGCGTTTTGCAGTTGAACCATCGAACGGGTTTTCCTATCGTCGTGGGTGAACGGCGAAGGAGACCTGGCGTGATTCACGAGTGGATGAGAAAAAAGAATCAAATGAATTCCTCCGGTACAATCACAAGGGCCAACCTAACGGTATCGAAATTCTCTGATACGAAGGACGCCACTATGTGAGAAACGATTACTTATTTCTTCGATTGCTTTTATTATTTTCGACATTCACGCCTCGATCAATTTCGTCGTCTTTGTACCTTCAACAATTCTCCTCCTCCTGCCAGAACACCTTTTTGTCTACTGCCAAACGTTTGGACGTGTTCCAAAAGAAAAGAAGCGTGGAATTACGAAATTCCGAAGGACCAGTCTTGCCATTTTTTGTTCCTTTGATACACGTGATACATGCACGCACGAAATAGCAAAACTTTTATTAGGAAAGATTCCATGAAATTTTTCATTATCAATTTAATTGAAAAGAATTTAATGGCAATAATACGGTTCAATTTAAAATTCATTTCATTAGTCAAACCTATGTAAAAAGAATTTGATTAACGAATATTCAAAGGAACAAATCCAAGGATACGAGAATGATAATAAAACTGATTATGAATATTAAAAAAAAAAAAAAAAAGGAAAAAGAAGGAGTATATAAACGTGGAACATTCTTATAATGCAAATTTCTTTCCATAATCCCATGATTATCGTACAATTCCTTCCAATCTCCTTGTTCTTCTTTAAAGACAACCTCGTAACTATGTGTAATTTATTCGTCTAGATCTAACGAAATGATTCTCTTCTACCTTTTCTCTCTCTATCCTATCATCTAGTTCGAGATATAACTGAATAGTATACTCGAGTAGTTCTTTAATCTTCCGACAGAGTTGGTTTCTATTAACGGATATCTAATTGGCTTCTCGAATTTATGTGCCATAATTAAGACGATGTTGCGGATCTTAGCATAAATTTAATTAGGCTTCTCCTCGACCTCGTTAGATATCTCATTCTCTCTTCTTACTCCTGTGAGATCTAGAGAGACCGATCGTCGTTTCGATCTTACGTTCAATCGTCTCCTCTAATTACGGACTTCCTTCTAATCACATTTCCTTATCGATTTTACTCTTACCGTGCTATACTTAATTTTTAT